TATTATGGCATTAGGATTCTACGTCACAGGTTATATTTTCAATTTTACCTTTGGTGAAAAGAAAAAAGAAATCTGTAATATAATCATTAAACAGTTGGTCTGCTGCATAATATCGAATAACAAATTAGGCGCAATGCCATAATACTATTCACACACCTAAACTAGTTTAGGTTACTATATGGTGAGTTAAAAAGGACTGAAGAACCCCATACGTATCATATACAAAATCAACATTATAAGAGGCCTAACCTATATTTCTTCGATAAGCAATCTAGCACCCATCTCGGCTGCAGCTCCTTAGTTGCCTGTCTGTTACCTCCTGGGGTTTAAACCCTCCGCTACTCCTTTACAAGTATAAAGCCTTCTTACGACCTTGTCTCACTTATGGACATACAGCGTGGATTTCTCCCCCATCTTCCTTTTATCTTGTACCCGGCATGGCCAGGTGGTTAAGGCATTCGACTTGCAATCTGTGGGTCGCGGGTTCGAATCCCCGTCTCCCTAAACATGCTCGCTCTTTCAGCCGTGGGGGTGTTATAATGTTATGGTCAATCCCACTATTCGTTGGTAAAAGAGTAACCCAAAAGTTGGCGGTGGGTGGTGATGACTAGCTGCCTTCCCTCTAGTCTTACACTGCAAAGTTAAGGACGGCTAGCGCAGATAGCCCTCGTGTAGCTTTGCGCGAAATTCAAAAATAAACAATCCTTTTATCTTCGTTTACAGGTTCTAGACCGTCATGCTCTACGTTTGGTATTTCACATCCGGCTGCTCAGTCCAACTAAGGACCTTTATGATCGAATTGGCTTTTCTTATATTCTTGTTCACCTTCGAAATATTCGGCTTCGTTATGTCTAGCGGTGTTTCCTCCTCAAAATGTTCTTTTTGCTGCTGCGCTTGAGCATCAGTCCACAAGCCTCTCTAACTCTTTCTCTGGACTATTTGTTCAATCTGTATGTTGTGTCGCTTCCGTCTGGTGATCCTGAACATGTTGATTTACCAATGTTGGACCTCCCAAATTATATTTACCCTGCTGATGCACAATCTCATGAGCAGCCCCGACTGCGAGGACCTAGTCACGATCCAGGATAACATGGGCAGCCCCGACTGCGAGGACCTAGTCACGATCCAATATCATGGGCAGCTCCGAACGCGAGGACCTAGTCACGATCCAGGATAACATTTTACCGTATCAATCACTTAATCTAATGTCGTAATTCAGGTTATATTTAAAATCATTGATACAAAAATTAGGCATTCCGACTTTTATTAGTAACCATAATCGATTTTATGCTTGATCAAGATTTGTTGCACTACACATTTCCTGCCTCATTTCTCACAATTGTGCCTCCTTCCAATGACTTGGATAGTTATTTCTTCTTTCTCTTCATCCCGGCATCTATTTTCACATTTGTCTCTATAATTCATTTTACTATACTTTTCTCGTCACATCTCAGGCTGTAGAGAGGGCGTAACCCTTTGATAGTCCGCCAGCCTTTGACTGAAATGAAATTGCACTCATGCTTATTTACTTTGCTGACCCAAGCTGTGCTGATGACCCTTGAATAGGCGAAATTGCAGTCCGCAGCAGAGGGTGCGGCGAATCAAAGAATGTATTAAGCCTCTACGTCACAGATTCTATTTTCAATTTTATCTTTGTTGAAATAAAAGAAATCTCTCATATAATGATTTAACGGTTGTATGACCATTTTAGATAATACTTTCATATTTTATTATATAGTATATTAAAATATAAGACACGGCTAAGCCCCAATGAAAACAAATTAGTGCACCTTTTAAGACTTGGCTTATCCTTATGAACATAAAGCACAGATACGTTTTTTTTAATATAAGATAATAAGAATATCCATTGAAAGATAATACATGTGAAAAGTTACTACTAACGAGACTGCGTTCATTATTAATGATATCAGAAGGACATACACAAAGATATTGAATATTGCCCTTAATAAAAACAAACAAACATGAAAACATTCAAGAAGACATTTCGACTTTTATTAGTAACCATAACTGTTTTATACTAATTTTAAAAAGACATACACAATCACTAGTAACCATAATAATTTCAGGGAGATATTAGATATCCACTAGCAACAATAATTGTTTCAAAACGACATATATATATATGGATCCAATATTGGATACAATTATATCAGAAGAAGGACATCCGGAGTATAAACACAAACCATAAGGAATAAGGATTTCAGCTTCAGAAAGGTATTTAGATATTAATAATTAATTAGGTTGACGTGTCATCTTTAATTACCTATGTATACCCACTTGAGCTGTATATTATTAAGTTTTCTTGTGACTAATACATTTACTTATCTATCATCTGAATTTTTTTTTATTATTATTATTATCAATTAATTTTGTAAAGAAAATACTAACTAGATTCCTTGGATTAATCAAAATGTACCTTAACCATCATCAAGCATAACAAAAAAAAATCGTAGAACACAACAAGCCAAGATTATTGGGGGGGGGGGATAAATCACTCCGCGTGCTTGAATTTCCAGGAAATTCTACTATGTGATTTGGTTTGCTGTTGTAGTTTGTTTTTTTCGGTGAATTTAACCCCAAAAAAACTCCACAATAGTAGAGAGTGCACTCAGTATATTTTAAATGATATAAGAAGAGTGAGAAAAGTACATTTCACTTCGTCAAGTAAGTAACCTGACGCAGAAAAACTTAGTTTTATAACTGGAAGACGAATCCACGTGCGACAGAAATATTTTACTAATAATGCGATTCTCTAGAGTATTGAAGCTTTAAAACTATTTTACTAGATATAAGGGTCTAAAAAGAAGAAACAACGCATGGAAAATGTTTTCTGCGTCCATTATTAAACCAAAACAATACAAGTGCTTTCTTGATAGAAACGAAAAATGAGCACGAAAACAGCCTTAACAATACTACTTTATAGTTTGAACAAGGCCTGCGTTGTGAACTATATGGAAAACATTTTATAAAAATTTTATTTTCCGAACCATTTGTCCCCAAGTACATTGCGTTTGATGCACTCATACCCTATATATTGTGCTTGAATGGAGTTACACACTACATTACGTTTGATGTAGTCATATCGTATATTGTGCTTTAATGTAGTCACACACACTACATTACGTTTGATGTAGTCATATCGTATATTGTGCTTGAATGGAGTCACACACTACATTACGTTTGGTGTAGTCACATCGTATATTGTGCTTGAATGAAGTCACACACACTACATTGCGTTTGGTGTAGTCATATCGTATATTGTGCTTTAATGTAGTCACACACTACATTGCGTTTGATGTAGTCATACCGTATATTATGCTTGAATGTAGTCACACACACAACATTGTGCTTGAATATAATCACACCGTATATTGTGCTTGAATGTAGTCACACACAACATTGTGCTTGAATATAGTCACACAAACTATACTGCGTTTTATGTGGTCATACACTACGTTGTGTTTGAATGCAATCACACAGTACATCGCGTTTGATGTAGTCATACGCTATATCTTGCATGAATGACAGCAGTGAAAAAAAACTGAACGCCATTCACTGGTAAAATATCAAACTATTAATAAGGCACCATTTTTTTATAGAAGCTTAAATACAGAGAAAGCGTTTATTTTCCCCAGCACACTTTATGTTCGACTATAAAAGAGTGTATTTAATACAAAAATTTCTAATATAGCACATACGTTACCCATTTTTGAATGAATAGTCAGTGATAACAATGTATATTTCGTTCTTTTTGTTGAGAAAGAAGGTTATATAAGTCACATCGAAAAACTAAAATACCAATAGATTAAAACTTAAAGAACAAGTGTATTATTGTTATTTATGCAAAACTGGAGTTCTCATATGTGAATATTTTATTACGGTTGAATCTAATGGTGTATCTTGTTTGTAAGTTACGTAAAATGTAGCGTAACTTCAGAGCGAAGACATTTATGTCGTGTCCCCTATGTCCTAGAAAGCTTTCGAGATTCAAGAAATTCTACTTAGTATTCAGTTTGATTTGAAACCCATCTTCCGAAGCTCATGAGAATTTATGCACTGTCGATCTGCCCACGGAATCATTAAAAGGCCTCTTTCTGACTTACATGTATAATTCCTCATTGCTCTCTAATTGAAATATTCATTGCCTTCTGATACAAGTAATTAGAGCTAAGGTCAAAGAGTCGGTATATATTAGAAGATACAATGATGCTAAAATTAATCTATATCTGGCACACTAATTCAACTCATTTGTGTCAGCACACAATCACATGTGCAAATTGAAGCTTTACTTCCATGTTCTCGTTATTCACTTAAACGAAGAAACAATTCTTTTACGCTTTGTCTCTTGAAATATTTACTTTTAGAGAAAAATAATACACTAGTAAATAATAGTGAATATATATACATATATAGATATCGATTGCAAAAAGAATAGAAAATGGTTACTAGGGCCTTGATTAGCAATCAAACAAAGTACTAAGGGTAAGTTACCGTAACCATAGGAGATACGACGTAAGCTAGCATAGACAATAATGGTTAAATTAATCTATATTTGAAGGGTTATTGCAATATGTTTATGTCAACACCATCATCAGTACATATTAAAGCTCCACTTCTAGATGTCATTGTTTATTTAAATGAAGAAACGATACTTTTATATTTAGTCACAAAACATACATACATTTAGACAAAAACAATACGCTAGTAAATCACAGTTAATATACATTTAAAAAAAAATCAAGTTCAAGTCACTAGAGGCCAAAAATTACAATGGCTTAGAAAAACGGCTTCTTTTCGAGTGTTGACTATTACAAACAAATAATGACACATTATTTAGCTCTTGCGTGATAAATGAACTCTATTGATATATATATGTGAATTCAACTTAAGCCTTTTTAAGCAATTATTGCAATAAAGTTTTATTTTCAGTTGTAAAAATAGTTTCAGAACAATTATGATTTTTATGTCTTTTATTACAGATGGTGAAGATGATGATTATGGTGGTAACAGTCTTCACGTTTTGTTGGCTGCCTTTTAATATCCTGATCGTAGTGGGCGACCAAGACCAGTCAATCTGGTGGTACAAGCACATCCAGTACGTTTGGTTTGTTTGCCACTGGCTGGCTATGAGTCACACCTCCTACAATCCCATCATCTACTGTTGGATGAACTTTAAGTTTCGTAATGGATTTCATCAAGTAATTTATGGTCTTCCTTGCTTTCGATGCAGTCGTCATCACCATTACCAAGGAAAAAGTCTTAGAAGGAAACATACGCGCAGCAACCTGCGAAACATCACCAATGCATCAATGTCAGCTGGCACAGTAGCCACATTGGATCATGGTCTATCCATAAGAAAGCCTAGAGCAAAGTTCACATGTCGTGTTTCTAGATTTGACGATGAAGCAACTGAAGGTTGCAATTTTGAGTAAAGGAAAATCAGTTTCAGTTCAATTTAAACTTTAAAAGAAGAAGAATAAAAAATAGAGACATATTATATGTTTTACCAATAAACTTAACATTTTCTTCATTTAGATATTTTTAAACATCACTATTATGCATTCAAAGTGTCTAAGTTGGATGTCCACTAACATGAATATGAAGACAATGCGGCATTATAAAGATATCACTTAGCATTCCTATGAAGGCCAAGTGGGCGGTCATCTGGTGGTTTAATGTTGTTCTTTAAATATATATATATTAACATTTACCATCAAAGTTAATTTAATGTTTTTAAATATCTCCAAATAGTAATTAGTATGCAAAGTTCGTGTCAGCGTTTTTGTCTTTTTATTTTTTACTTTTTGGATATCTCGTAAACCAAAGGGTGATTTTTAATTCCTTAATATTAAACAACAAGTCAAATGCTGATTTTTGAATATCCCATAGCACAAATTAGTAAGCCAAGTGTAAATGTTTTCTTTTTGTTGTTTTTGATAATCTTTAATACTACAAACATAAAATAAATAGATATTTCTTGGATATCGGTTAACAGTGGCAAGTGAGCATTATTTTTATATCCTTTATCATTAATTACAACGGCAAATTGGAAATATTTGGACATCTCTCAAAGCTTATTAGTAAGTCGAGTAAGTGGGGGAGGGGCGTTCTGAATGTACTTTAATACAATGTGATCATACAAAACTACAATACACTTTCTATGGTGATTGAAGCAATATCAGTATGAATATTCATTAGAAGTTTACTATCATCCATTATGTATATATATATATTTATACATTTATGAAGTATACATAATACAGATTAATTTTCGATCACTTGCCGTTCTGTTGATTTGCTGTTTTGTACAAATTGTTTTTGATGTAAAAGTAAAAGTAAAAAGTTATTTGTGTAAACTTGACTTTACATCAACCCTTTGATTACCAACACGGGTAGACTGTGAATATATATCTTAGTATTTTTAACTAGCTGCGACCTGCAAAACATTTGCGGTATTTTTCATGCCCTTTGCTTGAATTTTCCTTATTCTATCATTTTCACGTACGGCACCTAAGCTACGCTTTCTTGCAAGCATTATGTGTTAGATCGATAAATCCAGGTCTATTTCGAAAAAAAAAATTATGTGGTCAGCCAAACAAATTCACGGAAACATAATTTTATTTAATTAAATTACACGTACGTAACTTTATTTAATTATTGTTTGTTTGTTTTGAATTTCGCGCAAAGCTACACGAGGGCTATCTGCGCTAGCCGTGCCTAATTTAGCAGTGTAAGACTAGAGGGAAGGCAGCTAGTCATCACCACCTACCGCCAACTCTTGGGCTACTCTTTTACCAACGAATAGTGGGATTGACCGTCACATTATAATGCCCCCACGGCTGAAAGGGCGAGCGTGTTTGGTGTGACGGGGATTCGAACCTGCGACCCGCAGATTGCGAGTCGAGCTCCCTAACCACCTGGCCATGTTTATTTAATTAAACCACACGTACGTAATTTTATTTAATTAAAGTACACGTAAAATAAACAATAAAGTATAGTAATGGTATTTATAATAGTGTACAGAGTATGAAACATTTATGAACGTTCAGTGTTTGACACGGTTTTACAAGTTCAAATAAAGAAACTAAAAAAAAACGAAGAATAAAACCTGTTGTAAAGAAAAGAGTAGCTAAAAGGTATTCATAGCAGTCCATGAAACGAACCGAAGCTACGTTATTCCAAAGTAAAGTAAACATAAAGTTGTAATGAAGATCAACTTAGCTGACGTAAAGTAAATATAAAGTTGTAATGAAGATCAACTTAGCTGCAACTTCTGAATGCATGTTCACAAAGTGATAAACATGTGGTTTTGAACGAACTGCGCATTCGTATTTTAAACCTAAATATGTCAAGAAAGCCCATAGTAATTGTATTTAATGTAATGTTATTTTTTTTAGGAAATTACACTCGGGTTATTTGTTGTTTGTGTGAAATACTTGCAAATAAAAACTAAATTTAAAATGGAAGGCAGTTGTCACGTGATAACAACTACATTGGGTCATCGTTTAGCATACTCAGTGCATTAAATGTTTGACTTAGCAAAAATAAGATAAGGTGGTTCTGAATGGAAAAGCCAATATGCAATACGGACTCCTCGAACAAAGGCCTTTCTAACTATATTAAACTTGTAGTGTTTGATCGAGAAATATACGAGAAAAGTGCTGGACAGACAAACGAAAACGTATTATTTATATGGATTTAAATTTTGCGCAAAGTAGTCCATGATGTATGAACGTTTCTCATGATTATTTTAAGAAATTGTAACAGGAGTTATCGTATGGCAACTACCGAGTTACAAATCTCATTTATCTAATATACCAAAAATATGCAGTCAGTAGCAATGTCACACAGATCACCCACTTAAGGAAATGTATATAAGAATAAGAAAAAATGGAATCTCGTAATGATGAATAAAATACAACATTTATCAATACTACTATATTCAATGTTACTTTGATAAATCTTCATGGTCTTTCAATTTAAGGTAATTAATCCGGTAAATTGTGATTCGTGTACACTTTAAAATATTAATTTTCCTGAAACTTTCTTAGAAGTTTAGGTTTGCTCCATTAATACGACTCACTTTACCTGGTCTGACGAAATCCTTTAATAACTCTAGAATTGGCTCTCTGAACAGATTGACTTTACTATAAATTTAGTCTAGTTTATATGTTTTATTTGCACGAAGTTTGTGGGTGTTAAGTAGGTGGAACTATTTATCTAATCCCAAGTTTTTCTTAATAAGAAATGGAATATTTCTCATAAGAATTGCATCAGTGTTATGTCATTTACATTAACGGGTATCGAGAACAGCCTTTGAAAATAGCACTTTGTTCTCCACATTTTCAAGTCAAACATCTGATGTCTTTCCAGCCTATTTATGCTACTAAGAATTATCCAACTATGTTCATATCAAACCAATTTTATTATTTGTAACTAACCAAATGTTATATTCCATTGCTCAGGATTGTTAAACGATATAGTGTAGTTTCAATTAGTGATATTAGGTGAAACATTCTCAAACTCAACACAAATTAATTCATGGTCGTATATTTGTTTTGTAAAAGTTTTTGTACGTCTTTTTAGCATTATGCTAACACAAAGTTCATGTTTCTGGTATTAAATTCTTGACAAGTATAAATTGCATGCGTCCTCAGCATTTCTTGTACTAGACCTTTGTTCACATTCACTAGGTGTATGTTTCTTTCCTTTATTTACACTGCACATGCTATTTATTTTTCTTCTTGCTAACTACTTTTGTTTAACGTGTAGCCCCCCCCCCCCCAGTGGCACAGCGGTATGTCTGTGGAGTGACACCGCTACAGGTTTCGGTACCCGTGGTAGGCAGAGCACAGATAGCCCATTGAGTAGCTTTGTGCTTAACTACAAACAAACAAATTTATCTTGCCACTTAAGCATGCATTCAGTGTGGGTATTCTTGCTATGTTTTTTGTATATTTATTTAAGTTCATATCGTCCCTTCCATTTAATTAAGCCCATTTTAAAACACATCTGTGATGCTTGGAAAAAATCCTCATGATTAATTTTGAATTAATTATGATAAGGCATTGCAACAAAACGTACCAAAATTAGAAGAAAAATATAACCTAACGTATAATCTATGCTTTTCATAAAAGTAATAGTAATCAGTGACCTGATGTAAGCTTCTATCCTGGTGGCTCAGCAGTTAGCTTGAAGACTTATGACACTCAAATTAAGGGTTCTATCCCCGATGTAAATACAAACGTAGATAATCCATTGCACACCTCTGCTATAAACAAACGACCAAAATGATGAAAAGTGGATCACTAGATCATCAATGCCACAGAATCATTAAATAGTTAATCGAGGATAAAACTGACAAAATGATGGTAACGATCACATGTCTCAGTTTTGCTGACAGCCGAAGGATTCTTAAAATAACATACAGCTCACAAATCCGACAACATAAGATTGACTACAAAAGGAATCAAATAACTTTGCTTATTATGATGGACATTTTGAACAGGAGTATATTCTATACTAGATTTGTCTTGATATAATCCCACGTTAAAAATCTAAGAATTAGTTTGTTTGTTTGTTTGAAGTTAAGCACAAAGCTACACAATGGGCTATCTGTGCTCTGCCCACCACAGGTATCGAAACCCGGATTCTAGCGTTGTAAGTCCGCAGACATACCGCTGTGCCACTGGGGGGCTTCCAAATGTAGGCAAGTAAGTATGCATCGACCGAGCTAAAACATAAAACTTACTTACAAACATCTTACAATAAGTAAAGATACCTATTTTTTAAATTTACCATGGACATAAGCACAACCCCAATAACAGTAACATATCTGAAATTTGTTATTATTTTCTATTAAAATCATAGCAATATATAGAATTGTATCATAACTTGTGCTTCGTATTAATTTACTTATCTGAAACGAAATGATAAGTGGGTATCTAACGAACTATTTACTTATTTGTCTAATTAATACCAATAGACCCATTTAGCTGAGTCCGTTCCGCAAAACTACTAAGTTATGTTTCATGTTCAAATCGTGCATATTTCATGTACAACGAGACCGAATTTGACTGCAAAAAATCTCCCAAATAGTTCTGGTAGATATATTCGAAAACTTGCAAACTTTGATACAAGTTAAAAAGTTAATTGGCTTAAGTCCATTCGGTTGTTTTTAACTAACAGTAAATACAGTACGCAGTATTAGGTTACAAGTTTTAAAACAACATCCAATTTTCTTGGTAGGCAATTTTATTATAGATGTTTATAATAAAAACAACATATTTTAACTACCACAATAATCATATTCCCAATTGCCATTAATAAACGCTAAAAGAAATGACTCAATACTGTTGCTCTCACATTGAATTAGAATCAATATTCGTCAAAATTAGAAGAAAATGTAGTTCATGTCAGATAACTAACTACAGTAACGTGCAAAGAACATTAAAAGGGCATGGTTTCGTTGACAAAATAGGGCACTTTTTAAGCATCATAAAGCAATACTTTTTTTTTTTTGGAGGGGGTGTTAAGAGGGACTATGACTTGCCTATGGTATACATAGGGTAGAAAACCATAAGAAGAAGCAAACAATCGTCTTTTATAAACACTTTTAAAATCTAAAACTAGACATTAAATTATTTTGTATTAACACTCAATCACATATCGTTTTTGTTTTTTTTTACATTCCTGTGCTCTTTTAATTTTAAAGTTGAAATATTTTTTTTTAATAATAATAACTCGCAACAAGCAAGATGTGGTAGATGAGAAAGACATTTTGGGAGCACAAGAGCAGAAAGGCAGGGGTATGATCCCACCCAGCCACACCCTATGCACGTCATTGACGAACTATAAGCTTATACAAGTGCGAGAGATACGTAATAGCTAATATGGTTTTGAAAGAAAATTACGCGTGTCCTATTACGTAGTTCGAGCCATTTTTCAGGGAAAAAAAAGATTAATCCACTACAAAAACTTTCATTTATTTTCACTTCAAATCCAAAGTATTATGAGTCAGTAAGATATATATATAAAAAAGTTGATTTAACATTAGTAACTTCAACATAAAAAAGGTTCATTGTGTTATCATTATTGTCCATGTACACTGTTTTTAGGTTTTTAAAGCAACCTGTTTTTATTGTTGATCACAGACACCGCTATCTTCAAATAATGTAGGTCTTCGGCACGTGTATTTGGCTAATTTAACCTGCCACCAGGTGACACAGCTTCAGTCATAGGTGGTTTGCGGCGAAACTCTGGCGGAAATTTGACAAAGCACGTGCAGCATGATGGAAACGGGAAAGAGTCCAAAAAAGTGGTTTTTTTCTTTGGATGGACTGCTAAAAGGCGTTTATAGGCGTACCTCTGGCGACACTGACTTCGATAACCAAATGGCAAGTTCCCGTCAATATAACCACATGACTTTCCTTCTTCACTGGGAGAACAAAGAGGAAAATTTGAACAAAATTAAAGAAAGTATTAATAAAGAGAAACTATTTTTGAATACTGATATAGTAATAATTCTACTGATGATCTGTAACGTTAGCACAATATCTATTTATGTTGACGTTGCAATGACAGTTATTATTCATTTGTACATGTTCTGAAGAATATAAGCAATTCCTAGCCTAGCCTAGACTAGCTTACCATTTGGTAGAGTCCGTCCGGCTGATCCGCCAAATACGGTTACATATTGAAATCATTATGTTCAACGATATTGGCATATTACTTTAAAACTACATCTCAACTGTAAGATCAGTTAAAGTTTATGTAAAGCTTCCGTAGTATTTTAACATTCACAGACAAGGAACATCTAATGTAATCTCACAATTTACTTGTCTTTTAATAATGAAGATGAAGATAGTTGATAAAACAAAAAAACATTTTATTTACTAGGTTCGAACGTTTCGGAATACACCCATTCCACCTTCAGCGAAATCTGAAAATAGTGTTATGAAGATGACTAACTAAGACTATAATATCACAATCACTAGTTTACTTAGTTTTAAGAGAAGTGGATAACAGAAGGATAAAACAAAAAACAAACGATTATAGGTATATTGCAGAACAGTTATACACGAGTCATGAACGTAGACGTATTAGTATTTCAATACAAAGATCAAGTATCAAAACTTCTACGTTCATGGCTCGTGTATAAATATACATGTAGTGACTGTAAGGTCACGTACATTGGCAAAACAAAAAAAAACGTCCCTTAAAAACTAAACTCTGTGAACATTTAGGAGTATCTAACGGAACTAACCGTTCATTATTTAAACCTAGCCACTCATTCATTCATTCACATTCTGAAACCATAGTTCACAATATTTCATTTAACTACTTATTTGTCATTAACACAGGATTTTCAGACCTTGAACTCTACATTATGGAAAGTATATTCGTAGCTAAAGACCGCCCGACTCTTAACGACTCACAAAATTATTCAGATCTAAAATTTTCACACTTAAACTCAACTGTTGTGCAATATATCTATAATACTTTGTTGTTGTTGTTGTTGTTGTTTTATTCTTCCGTTTACCACTTTTCTTAAACACTACGTAAGCTAGTGATTGTGATATTATAGCTTTAGTTAATCATTTTCATAAAACAATTTTCAGGTTTGGCTGAAAATGGAATGAGTGTATTAGGAAACGTTCAAACCTTATAAATAAAATGGTTTGTTTTTTATCAACCGTCTTTATCTTCATTATTAGACTTCGTTTTCCCCTTCGGGAATCCATTACTTGTCTTTTGTTACACACAAGGTTACATCAAAATTATCACGAGATTACTACAGACTCGCATTAAGAAGCATATAAATATCAACATGCCTAACAGATCGAGTATATGCGAACATGCCTTACATAAATGTGAAGTAGTTACTCATTCGAGTTATTTTAAGATACTGGTAAGTACAATAATGAACGTAGTCTCCATATAAAAGAGAGCCTGCTCATCAAAAATTCTCACATTTATCACGCATGTTTTCAATGTTTTAATAGCTATCTTGTTAGCGTTTAATAAATGATTACTAACTGTTTATTTGCCTATCTCAAACATCTGCTTTCTGTAAAACCGTTTCATAGAAGTTGAAAAAAAAGCTGAAATTGGGAATAAAATAGATTATGAAAATTATGCTATTTTAAAAGTTAAAATATCCTTAAGTAGAAGAATATATGTAAAAGTTATTTATACAGTAAACTAACCTTATTTTCTGTTCCCTGTGTAATCAAGTAAAACTACATTTCAAGATATAGCTACTATAAAACTATTTATATGTATGTATTTGGATATAAAATAATTTTGGGTAAATTTGCGAAATAAACTTACAAGCACGTTTCCGACGTTACGAACTGCTCAATTTTGATATCATTGACGATGTAAAGCCATTTTTTGTCGTTATTTTCTCCTACTTTTGGCTTAAAAGTTTTCATAACAGGGGTGCAAATAGGGTCCTCAGAGAAATCCTTAAATGAAGGAGGAGATCTCCCTTGAATACCAACGTCAGTTGTTTCCAGTAACATATACAGCACGTCTTCAGGCAATGATTGAACTGCCTCTGAAATATGCCTACTAAAAAAAACAAAAAGCATCTATTAAGTTAAAAATTTCTATCGCACTAAATATGCTAGTATTCACACATAGTCTCATAGTCTCACACAGAGATAGTCTCAGACACATTAATTCACACTTGAAATTCAATAAATAAAGGAGCAATTATAATGTTACTAATATAGGTATTTCTATTACATTTGTATGTAAGAAATAAATACTTATAACGTAAATGCAAATATTTCACTTTTTTTAAATGCAAGTAGTAATTATAATGTAATCAATACAAGTTTTCAGTTTGTTTATTAGAGAGTATTACTTATTATTAATCCATATTCCAAACGAGTACTGATAGTCATAAAATTACGGCTTAAGATTAAACCATTATTTTAAAACTTTGCCAGAAGGCGTCTGCATAGAGTTCAAAACGTCATCCACCTCAAAAACTAGGGCAGAAATGATTCTTTACAAATTCTAGACTTAAAAATGATAATATTATATATTATCTTTAAGAAAAACGAATTAAGTAAAAACACTCGTTTATTCAGCTTAAGCACATTTCTCCGAAAAAAAAACTTGACTATTGTAATCAGTGGCGACTCATCAAAGGATGAAATTATTTCTTGTTTTTTTTTTTATTAACGCCTATATTTTATTTGTTTGGTAGAGTAAAATCTTTGAAAAATCGAAACTTTTTGTGGCAAAACGCTCAAAAATCTTTTCCCGCTTTATGCCATTCATTGAGGTGACATCTAGTGGTGTGAGACACGAAACAGCTGTGTCTCTGGGCTCTTTGAACAATCTTTTCATACTTACGGCCCACCAGTGGCACAGCGATATGTCTGCCGGCTTACAACGCTAAAAACTGGGTTTCGATATTTGTGGTGGGCAGAGCACAGATAGCCCATTGTATAGCTTTGTGCTTAATTACAAACAAACAAAAATTATACTTGCGATGGAAACAACCGAGAGGAGCTGAGCTTTCTTACAGAGTTTAACAAGGATTTTAAGGCCGGCCGCGCAATTAATGGAGTCACTCCGAATCTAAGTTTAAAAATAACAAATGAGAATTATTGTAAGAAATATTTTCAACAAGTGAAACAAGCAAGATTCACAAGGTCGCGGTGATCAATAGCTGATACAAATGTAATGATTATGTGACCATTCAGGGTTTTTAAGGATATAAACAATAAAAAGCGAGTTGTTTAAAAAGGGAAACGATTCATCTCGACTTGGAGGTTATTCCGGAGTTATACATTTCGAACAATAGTTAGACCCTCTATAGTTAGAGCCTAAGTAGGCTCACAGTTAAAAAATAACCAGAAATCATGTTATAGAAATAAATCGTTGAAATGGTGTATACATTAACCTTCTAGTTTAACAAGAATTAATAATCTTTTTTTTTAATCTTCTACAAGATTGAAACCGTGATCATGGTAATGCATTATTTAATTCATATTTATTTATATACGTTACGTTCTAAACATAAGATTTTCAGACACCATTAAACCAAGTGGGCTAAATACCTATGTTACAGTCTCCCTAATTTTGAGCTACCAACCACAGAGAAGACAGTTTGTTAACAGTACTTGCCGCTATAAGGGCTTTATCGAGATCTTTGAATCGAATAGTGCGATCAGTTTCAAAGTCACATTTATAACGCGCCCACACTTAAACTTGTAGAGCATATTCAGCAACATCGCCTTTCGAATCTTGGACCCTCCCTTCCGCAGCCCTTTACATTAACATTTAGCACATGTCCGACCTTTCAACATATTTTAAAACTTAATCGGAATTGAAATTTAGAATCGGGGTAAAATTATATTAACATGAAGATTTTCTTTAACCAGTTACTTATGAAATTATGGACAAATTCTCTAGATATGACCTATGAGGAAATATAGGATATCAATATTATATTTCCTTATTATGTTAAATTTGTGTTTCCAGTTAACGACAGCGGCAAGTCTACAGACTTACAACACTAAAATCCAATGTTCGATTTCTCGCGGTGGACACAGCAGATAGCTCAATGCGACTTTGCTCTAAAACAAATATACACCGAAAGATATCGGCCAAAAATACAGATTCATTGGTGGGATCGTTTTCTTGGTGTATCTAAAAACAACGTTTAGCCTACAAATACACTGTGCCCTACAGATATATTTCTTTGTACTGTAAAATGAAGTTGTGAATCTCATAGGTAACTGATATGATGATCATCGGACTGTATAGTACAGTTGGTGTTTTTAGTTCCGAGATAGAAAACCGTCAGTCTTCTTATCTTTGACAGTTTTGTTAATGTAGATTTTTTAGTCTCTTAAGATGCCATAAAAGGTTAAATCTGATCCAGATTTACCTGAGCACTAACAGCAAGTTGCAAAACACACACATTGCAGGATACACTGAATAAGTCAGTATCACGTTTCTTGGAGCTTTAAAACTGTGAGTCATGGCGCAAGAACCCCACGAAGAGCTTGTGTATGTATGTGAAAATAACTCATCAATGTATCTTTTTTTTTATCATCATATTCTTTGCAGACAATCTGATGTTTGTTTTACGTATGTTGTACGCTCGTTTATAGTTTATTTTGTATCCATTAATTTCCACTGTAAAATAACAAAGTTTGTTAATGTTAAATGCGTGGTACGAGTTATTTATATCAAAATGTTATACCTTCCAATTGTCTCAGCGATCTGGTGTTTCCTACTTCAAAGTGAATGTTGTACAAAAAATCACTGAATTTGTGATATCCTACGGATGCTATGACAAAACATTAATTTTTACTGTTTATTTTTCACTTAGTTTCTGTAATAGTAAATCTGTTTTGTTTTCAAAAGTTTATAGAGGTCATTGAATATATTCTACAAGAAGTCATTCGTTTATATAACCGTTTGACAAAACGTAATATCAGTGAAATAAAATGTTCAGACTATATATACATATTTTAAGTATCACATTAACTAAATGTAATATAGTATAGTTTGGCTTTATTGTTTACATGCATGACTATCCATACACGAGTTTACAAATATACAGTCATGAAAGTTTTTCATAACAGTTTTTCGTGTTAATATAAAGCATTCAAACCTTGTATATTGTCGTGTCTAAAACAAAAAAGAAAAGAAAAGCTGTACGTTTGCATTCATTTTAATATGACATACACAGTTCTGTTTTCGTTCTTTAGTTTGATTTATACCCACACGTCATTAAACTGTATAGAAAATCATTTTGTTCCAATCAAATATAGTCAACAAAACCACGCCACACAATCCGTTTCAGGTCTACGTAGTTATTAGGTTCAATTAGTGTATGGTTATGAATACGATACATAGAATATATATATCTAAAGCTTGAATGTTTTTATGCTAATATGGAAAGTGTATTCTTATCAAGATTATATTGTAGTTAAACTATAATATGTGTAAACTTTGGGGTAAGCTATACAAACACTCAAACGCGGTGTAATAAAATATTATTTTTTGCTTATTCAAACATTATGTTATGAATTGATACATCAAAGGGCCACGATGATTATTCTAATATTATAAGTAAAATCTATGCTCTATCTGATTGTTACAAACATTATGTTATGAATTGATACATCAAAGGGCCACGATGATATATTATAAGTAAAATCTATGCTCTATCTGATTGTTACAAACATTAGACTTTCGTACTTTTGTTAACATTAGAAAACGAACATAATTATCATTTACTATTACAACTTCAGCTACGTCACTTATTTTGTAAAATCTTAAAATGTCAATGAATGTATAACATGTTAAAAGGAAAGTTTAAATTTGCGCTTCGTGTGGATTCCAACATAAATATTATTAGTGTATATGCGTGTAATATTAATCAGCAATCAAACTATAAAGCTGTTTGGAGTTATTGTCACGCAGACAGACAGTAGGAAAACAAGACTTTGCATTCTTGTGACGTCGCTAATCCTGCAATGAATCCCACTGTGATATGTGTTATAGCTAACGTCATTCGAAGAAAGTTTGTAAATAGTAAAAGTTTAGTGTTTGCTCATTTTAAAGTGAATATTCTACAAAAAAAATCATAGAAGTTGCGATGTCCTAAAGAATGCTATGACGAAACATTTTAAAATGTTTAGTTTCTGTAACAGAAAACCTGAAAGTATGCTTAAGTGATTGGGTTTGCTATGGAGTAAAGTAACTCATTTTTAGAAAACCGTTTTTGAGAAAGTATAATTATCAGTGTTACTATATTTAGTTGGACCACAACGAATTTTGATAGAATTGTAAAACTGTAATACGTGAAATTTTAAACTTACGTATTCAAAAACGCTTTATTATTATCATTATTATTGAAGTGAAACTATAAAATTGACCTTAACAATAATGTAGAAACCGATATCGTCTTAAGAAGAGCAGAGAATGAAATAGTAGTTTTATATTAGTTCGTAATGTGATGTGTACAATAAATATGTCTAGAATTTGAATGGAAAACGCCTCCACGTAGATTGCAAGCTAAATTAATATATCAATATTCATGAAGTACCCTATACAATTTAATCAAACTGTAATATAAGAAATATTAAATTTACGTATTCAAAAACGTTTTATTTATTATTGTTTTTAAAGTGACACCATGAATTTGACCCTAAGAATAATGCAGAAACTAATATCATGTTAAGTACTATACAGAATAAAGTAATAGAATACTTGTATAACATGGTGCAGCTTGACAATAAACAACACCCTCTAGTGGTTCACCATGTTATACAAGTATTCTACTACTTTATTCTGTATAGTAGAATACTTGTATAACATGGTGCAGCTTGACAATAAACAACACCCTCTAGTGGTTCACCAGCGATCCACATAACAAATCACCTGCTCGTGCACAACTGATAAACTCATCGCCCAGCCCCTTAGTGACGAACTTTGGATCTATTCGCCCCTAGCGACACACTATCCACCCCCTAACACCATTTTGTCGAACAATGACGTCCCTTGACATTTCGGTCTCAAAGGAAACCCCCCACTGA